AAGAGAATAAGCTTCCTAGCTGAGAATATTAAAAAAGCATAGAGAAATAACAGGGGAAAGCAAAAAATGTCCTGGGGCATAGGAGACACAGGGCTATTAAGTGGTCGTTATTGTTATTGTTGTTGATTGTCTTCAAGATCCTATGAACAAAAGGCCTGAAGCCCCTCTATAACTATCACATATATCAAAGTTCATAGAGTTTCCTGAGGCATGTTATTTAGGAAGTAGATGCCACTCCCACACAGTTCATAGAGTCATGGAGAGAATTTTGAACTTCAAAAGAAGGAACAGAGAGGATTTGGGTTAACACCTAACAAAACTCAATGTACTTTTAGTGAAACAGATTATATGTGACTAGTTTGACATACTAGGCAATTATCACCCCAAAGTACAAATTCCGTTGATTTCAGGAAGAAATCAGATGGGTTAGAGGACTATATAGACTTGGGGACTTTTATGCCTCTCCATTTTGCCTCTCTGATGCACATTTCTTTTCCTTTCAAAGCTAGCAGTTTTAAGGAACTTATTTTACTTTAACTGGTTATTTTAGAGGAAGTACTTAAAATAATTTAAGTAATATTCAGGCAAACCTGTTTTATATGTTTATGAGTTATATTATTATTCATGCTTTCATATGTCTTGGGGGAAAAAACAATACAAATTTTTTTTTTATATTTTGGTATTTCCATTTAGATAATTCTCGTTTTACTTGTTTTGCTTATTTCCTCTCTCTCAATGGAATTGAAGTTCCATCATCATCCCCTTTTGACTTTTAAAAGTTTCTCTTAAAAAAATTAGATTACTATTTCCCCTAAACTCTGAAGAAAAAAATATAGTCCTTTTCATTAGGTTATTATTCACCCTTTATATTTGCCTTTTCTTCTCTCCTGTCAGTACATTCCATTTAAAAATTGTGTTCAATAACTAGCTGGCTGAGTTCATTTTCACATAAATTTATTCATATCACAGCAGCTACTTGGCAAAGAATTGCACAAAATTCACTGACCTTGAAAGCCAGATAGGTATGGGAACGTTCTGACTTCTCAAATCATATAGAGGAATATTTATAACATTATGATTTTTAGATGTTGGAGGTTGCAGAGTACAAAACAATGCCATAACTGTTTATTAAGAGCACTGACTTTATTCTCTTTGGACCATGAATTATTATTTTGATGACAACCTACCAGTAGTCATTTGCAGCAAGACTGGTGTGTGCTGCCCAGTAACACGGGCAGAGGCTCCTGAACAGACTGCTTCAGCCATTATGATCCATATGGTAGAGAACAAATGAATGAGTTGGTGAAGAGGGAGTGAGGTTCTGACGCTATGTCCCAGACTGTCTCATTCCATCCAAATGAGAGAAGCAGGAGAGTATCCAACCGTATGATATTTTAAGCGTGCTCCCATTTTCTTCATTTGCTGATACAGTCGTGCCTCCCATTTGGATCTCCTCCAAGTCTCAATCCAGTGCATAGAGTATCTGAGCTTCGGGATAATCAGCAACAAAAAGAAATATAAAGGAGGAAAGTGAAAGTCAAGATTCTGAAATCTTGTGGTCAATCCAGCTTAAAAGTTCAGTGTAAAGGAAACAAGGCTTTATTTGTACACTTTTTATGGGAGCCACCAATGTTAATGTGAGAAAAAGGCAAAGATGAATATAGTTTACATCACAGAAAAATAGAAGTATGATAGCCACATGAAAACTCTGTGACCCTCTGGCCTAGTCCAGAGGGAGGTGAGCTGCTAACCCAGCAATGGAGGCTCGCCAGCCGTCTGAATTCATCAGTAGTTCAGAGAGAGAAAGATGGATAATCTCTTCCTGTGCGATGCACAGCCTCCAAAATCCACTGGAAAGTCAACTATGAGTCAATTCCAACTAGACAGCAATGAGAATGAGTGAATAAACATTCTAGTGACTATCCTTTCAAATATCTCTATGCACACACAACTATGCTTTTAAATAAACAGGCATTCTTTATAGTAAATCGCTTGCTTTTAGTATCTTGCCTCACTAACTCCTCCCACACGACATCACAGTGGACATTTTTCCAGATCCTTTCTCAAATGCATGTATGTATATGATAGATATTGTTTCTGTCAATAGGGGAGAAGGAGAAACCAATGGTTTACTGTGAGCAAGATGCTATGTTTGTCCTTGTTCTTCATGTACCTCCACTAATCCATGCCAGATTCTTGGGACTCAGAACTGTAATTACAATCCCAAAGTGATGCTTTATTAAAGTCTGTCCACACCTAGGCCATAGGCAGCCCTGCTTTAGAAACCATACCACAGAGTAGGATCTGGTGCAGAGGGAAGCATTCTGTGCAGGGCCCAGAATCTTAAGTAAAGCTCTGAATAAGTTAGAGTAGGGTGTATAACGAGAGTCTGTAGACGAAGCAGTGCACCCAGTGATGCCTAGAAAAGTCAGTGCAAAGGATGTGAAAAGCCTAAGAAAGAAATTTCCCATTAGTAGAGATGAAACAACAGTCAGAGTATATTAGACAAGAATACAGATCCTTGTGCCAGAGTACCAGGATTTGAATTCCAGTGTTGTCACTTACACTTGGATAATATATAACTTAATCTGCTGTGCCTCAATCTTCTCATCTGTAAAATGAGATCAACAATAGTATAAATCTCTAACAGAGCCGTAGGAGGCCGCGATCCCTCAGTCATATATTTATTGTCTGAAAGGCTCATCTTTAGGCACTGCATTCAGCTAGGACTGATAGCCCATAGAGTTTTCAAAGGCTTGTTATTTCAGAAGTGGATTGAAGCTGTCAACATTTTATTTTCTTTAGGCCCAAGAAAAACGCCCATAATACCAGCAGTCAAGAAATCAAAAGACATGTTTCAATAAGGATATCTGCTGTCAGGAACTTCTCTAAAGGTTTAAACAGCAAGGATGTTAAAGACTAAGCCAGAGTCTGATCCAAGCCATGGTCTTTTTGACTGCTTCCTACTCATTTGAAAGTTGGGCAATGAAGAAGGATGACAGAAGAATCAATGCCTTGGCACTCTGGTGTTGGCAGAGAGTGTTGAAGATGTCATGGACTGCCAAAAAACCAAACAAATCTGTCTTCAACTAGCTTGCTCCTTAGAGGCAATAATGGTGAAACTTTGTCTAACTCAATATTTTCAGGAAGGAACCTGTCCCTGGAGAGAGACATCACGCCGGAAAAGAAAAGCACAGGAACACCTTCAATGAGATGAATTGATAGAGTGACTACCACAGAGAACTCAAGGATGGCCCAGGATAGGACAAGGTTCAGTTGTCCACAGACTGGCTGTGAGTCAAGGTCAATTTAATAGCACCTAACAACAACAACAGAATTGTGAGAAGTAAGTGAATTATTGATGTGTCTAAAGTACTTAACACTTCCTGGCATAAAATCAGTAAGATATGACCATTCACTTTTAACAAATTAAGTAATCAATACAGTTAGTGAGTGTCCCCAGCAAGAGACTCGGGTTGGCTTATGTCACGGTGTAACTGACTGAACGACTTATAAATTAATTTGAGACACATTAGAACAAGAGCCCTGAATAAAGTAGTGAGAACAAAAGTCAGTGAAAGCTGGGCTAAGGAGATACAAGGGATAAATACACACAAAATAAAGACTTTGAAAAAAAGAATACTGAGCCAAACTTCACTTGCAAATTAAAACATTAATTTGATAACCACTCCGATGTTTTCTCCACCTAGTCATCTGTAGGAAGGTATAGGCTCTGGGCTTTTGCCTGAATCACACGTGAATCCATAGAAACAAAGGGGCAAGCATTACCAAACATATTCATTTCATATCAGAATCATATCTATGAGATGGGGGAAAATATTTTCATCATCATGATCAACCCACTTTTCCTGAAAGCCAAACTGTCTGAAAAGTATTATGACGTGAGGCCAGAATAAAGGCAGTTAATTCTGTGGTTGAAATTGTTAATAGTCACAGGCTATGTAATAGGCGGCCACATCTATCACTATATAATGACAATGTACCTACTCCGTGACCTGGAGACCCGTCCCACAGTCTTGTATAGGTCTCCTCTCTGTCTTGCTGAGTCCTCTGCAGCCGTTTATTTCATAGAACAGCCCTCCTCTATCCCAGCCATTTCCACATTTTCCCATCCTAGTCCAATCACACATTCTTTAAACAAATAGTAAGATAGTTGTTTTTAAATGTTAATGCATGACTCTTACCCAGTATTTTCTGGTTTCCTTTAAGTTTTCCCTCGCTCAGATAGTAGGCAGTCTGTAGTCATGCTTTGAGGGACAGGATAATACGAAAGATCATAAGAAAAGATTCTTCTTGACTTTTGAATTTTGGACCTGTAAGTTTAAGATATGTAAGAAGGAGGATTTCTTAAGAAACAATAACTTATTGAGAACATAATGTTAAAAGAGCAAGATTATCTGTAGCAGGCACTTAAAAAGTTTCTGGTCTAGGAAAAAATAAGATGCCAGAGCATTAATCCATAAGACATTTAGTGTATGTCTGTCCCCAGAAAATGGGGCTCTGGGCCTTGTCTCCGTCTTCCTGTGGATAGGGAGGGATATGAGCATGAGAATGGATTGAAGTTAAATGTCTACCACTTAGGATAATTGGAAGTCAAGCTAGACATCAAGTAGAATAGCTACCACTTGAACATACATACTTTTAAAATAATAAATTTACTCTCTGTACTTGATATAGCAATTTATGCACATGGCTCTATCTAGAATCTGTATAATCTAGTGGAGTATAGTCCATAAAGTGTTTTGCTAACAAAAATAATGTGTCTATGCTGGTTCAGATCCAACAGCTGCTTTCTGGGAAAAAGATGGGCAGTGTCGTCCCATTTCACCTTACAACCTTGGAAATCTGGTAGAGGGTTGTCATGAAATCAACTCCAGGGAAGTGGGTTGGGTTTGGTAATAGCTATAATAGCCAATAAAGAACTATATAAAATAATCTAAATTAACTTAAATAAATCATTTCATTCCAGAAAACCAGACTCCTGGGCAAGACATTAGACTGGTATAATGTAGAGAGACTATTTAACATTGATACTCAGTTCCTAATTTTGAAATTTTAATCATTTAGTGTAAGTACAAGGTCACTTTTTTTAATAGGTCTTCCTCTCCTGAAATTTTAAATGATTCACTCAGTCATCTTTAATAGCCTCAAAATAATTGAGAGAGAAAAGTATATATCTTCCCAGATGATACTCTCCGCCCAACACCCACATCAATTAGGTATGCACAGTGCAGGAATAAGTCAAGACGGAAAGGTTAAGAAATGCACTATTGATCAAAAGTCAATATTTTTTAGCTGAGAAGAGATTTTCTGAATATGATAGAAGCATTTGAAAATAGCAAATTAATTTCATCAGCTAAATTGCAGAGCTTCACACCAGTTCTTCCCAGTTAGGCATGGCTGACAAAGCAAAACTAGAATGGACCAGAATTATCAAAATATGGATGTCTGAAAGGATAACTGGAATGAGAGGGATAGAAAATTGATGTTCTGCTGCAAACTCAATCCGCCTCTTAGAAAACAAGGGTGGTGTTTGTGTGGCATAATAACTAAATCTTTTGCCAATCAGAGTTGAAAACAACAATGCCCTACTCATAGATGAGTATGTGTCTCAATGGTCCTAGAAATAATGCACTCTCTTAATCCACTCACCTTCTTCCTGAAAGGGCTCATTCACTAAGTCTTTTCTGAGTCTCACTTTCCAGGATCTAAACTTGCTTTTTTTCCCCGTTGTGGTTGTTCTTCAAGATAGCCACACTTGGCAAACTCCAGTCCATCTCAGATTCAGTTTCCAACCAACCAACACCGAATCAATCCAAACCAGTTCAAAGTCCTGGTAAATTGTCCCATCAGCCTCCATAACATGGAGTTCTGAGTACGATCATGAAGGTAACTGAAATTTTCAAATTGTCCCCCAAGAAGTGAGACTGTACCACTCAAGGCTCAACAGTGCAATGTAAGGCTTTTCAATCGTGATCAAAATTCTTCTGGTCTCCATAGTTCATTTTCTCTTAAGTATTTTGGGAAAGTCTCCAACACTGGCTTTCTTATTGCCTCAACATGTAAAATGTATTTCTTTAAACAGAGACACTAAAAGGCTGGCCTTATGGCTAAGGGAGTGTTTGTTGTTTAAGGAAAGGTCCTGCTGAGTTCAAAGAGAAGCTGAAACAAAGAAACAGGAGGAGGGTCAAAAGACCTGGAAGATAACATCTTTCTATTCTTTTAAAGCATCATTTTACCTCCAG